TTATTAACAAACAAAATAACGATATCTTTCACCTGAACTGCACTAAAATTCTTCAAGATTCATAACTTTTGTGGAAATATTTATAATCCCTGTGGTCGACAACGGGTTAATCGTTTCTATCCATGATGAAAAATCACATTCCTCAATTTGGATATTCCGTGGAATATTACCAGCTATATAGCACATTTAGCCAGGCCCACATAATTTTATACAATAATTGAATTAATTTTCTACTTGTCTGGCTTATTTTAAATGTTTGCTTTTCTTGGATTTAGTCTAAAAAGGTTTTAGCGAAGAAGGTCAAACAAATGAAACGTAATAAAACTTAAGAGAAAAATCGTTCCAATTGCTCAATTTCTTTATTGCGTTGAATAATGCTGCCAAAATAAAACCCTTAGTTCTGTCCACATAATTTTATCCGATTAATGAATCAATTTTTTATTTAACTGGTGTATTTTTAATACTTGCTTTTATTGAATTTTGCGTAAAAAGTGGTTTTAGCGAAATAAGTCAAACAAAAAACGAGGGGGAACGTGGTGAGTTGCTGCGGACACCGCAACTCTACAGTTATACCCGATACTAAGTCAGTATGGCTCTCCTCCGGCAGACGCCGCTAATATTAAACGACACGACAAAGAATGCGTGCGAGAGAGACAGAAAATCAGTCTGTGCGTGACGTCGGGCGCTGCGTAGCCAATGCAAATTGATTTGTTCCTTTTGGCTACAAAAATTATCTGATCTGATCCAAATTCAGCAACCGGATAGATATAGTAAATTCTCTATGATTCTGCGTTTTTAGTTTTCTCGAATCTGCAATATTGTGGATGCAACAGATTTTCGTCCTTTGTGGTGGCGGATGGGGGTGGGGCGAAATTCTGAGACATACGTTTTATAGTGACATCTTAAAGGAGTGTGTGTACCAAATTTGGTTACTCTAGCCTTAATAGTCTCTGAGATTTGTGGTTGCCTCAGATTTTCGTCCTTTGCGGGGGCGGAAGGGGGTGTGGCGAAATTTTGACACAAAACGGTCAAGGTCCGATATCACAGGAGTGTGGATACCAAATTTGGTTGCTCAAGCTCTTATGGGTTCTGAGATCCTTGAACTCATATTTTGCAATTGGCAAAACCGACCATGAAACCTGTGTGTTAGAGTGAGACAGAGCGAGAAAGAGTGAAATTGTTTTCATGGTTCTGGCTGTAATAATTATACGATCTGGTTCAGATTTTGCACTCTAGAAGATATAGTCATCTTCTACGATCCTGCTTTTTTAGTTTTCTCGTATCGTCGAAATTGTGGATGCCACAGATTTTCGCCCTTTGTGGGGGCGGAAGTGGGCGGGGCACAGTTTTGAAATATTTTTGGAGCAGTGACATATCACAGAAGTCTGGATCCAAAACATCGTTGCTCTAGCTCTTATAGTCTTTGAGCATTAGGCGCTGAAGGGGACGGACAGACGGACAGACGGACAGACGGACGGACGGACAGACAGACATGGCTCAATCGACTCGGCTATTGATGCTGATCAAGAATATATATACTTTATGGGGTCGGAAACGATTCCTTCTGGACGTTACACACATACACTTTTACCACAAATCTAATATACCCCAATACTCATTTTGAGTATCGGGTATAACAAGTAGCGAAATAGGTCAATCAAAACAAACGAAAATGGAAATTGCTCAATTTTGATATTCCATTGAATAATTCTGGCTAACTAAAACCCTTAGTTCTGCCCACATAATTTTAGGCCGTTGATGAATAAATTTGCTTCAAGATTGGATAGTTTTTAATCCTTGCTTTTATTGTATTTATTGTAAAAAAGGTTTAAACGAAAAAGTTAAACAAAAAAAGAGTCGCTGTATTGCGTGTAAGCCGTAGTATAGACCTTTGTATACCCTATTTTGTTAATTTTATATGAAAGTATTAATATTGATATGAAGATAAAACGTAACTAATAAAGACCTTTTCTCAAAATGACATTTTTTAGACATATTCATGTATATGATGAGTGTTTTGTATACATATCTCGATCCTGATACCTATTCTTGGTCCCTACAAGAAGACAATAAGCTTTAAAATATCGTTGAAATATTGAAAATAATATTAAATAATATTGAATAATATTAAAATATATTGAAAATAAATTGTTTTTGCCCAGATAATTTTATATGATTGCTGAATCAATTTTGATTAGGATTAACTACTTTTAAACAAAAACACAGTTTCAACAAAAATGTTCAATAGTCGCAGGTTGTGACGTCAATGTTGCTGGTATTTGCAGACTCATTTCTTGTCAACCAGAGTGTGGTCATTTGTATACCCTATTTCGTTAATATTATATAATGAAACTTGTTTTCTTTTTTTTTTTTGCATTTTTTTGGAATCTTCACGCATTTGATTGAACTGGCGCCAGTTGGGGCAGTATTGTTTAAAAGTTTTTTAAAGAAATTATGAAAACGTACGCTTTCTTGTCCGATTAGATCTGGAAAACCCCCTTGGTTTACCAAAGAGCTATCCAGTCTAAAAAACTTAAAATCAAGACTTTATAAAAAATTTCAAGAAGTGGGTTCTCCTACTTCTCACTCTCGTTATGTAATAGCTCGGTCAAACTTTTCAGTTCTTAATGCTCAATGCTATAAGAACTACCTATCTCGTTGCAGGATACGTTTTTCTCAGGACCCTAAACAGTTTTACTGCTTCGTAAACAGTAAGCGTTGAACGTCCGCACACCCATCCTCGCTATCATTTTGTAATACGTCGGCAAATAATGATCAGGCAATTGCCGATCTTTTTGCCCAGTTTTTCCAAACCACCTATTCTGAGGAACGCTACTCTGGTCAACCGTACCCATACGGATTACCGAGGTCGAACGGCATTTTCAGTCCCTTGTTAAATGAATATTCCCTACTTCAAGATCTTCGACTAGTTAAGCCGGTGTTTTCACCGGGTCCAGACGGGGTTCCAGGTTGTGTACTCAGGTACTGCGCCGAGGCTCTGTGTGGACCATTGCTTAAACTATTCACCCTGTCCATTGATTCCTCTTGCTTCCCCCCAATCTGGAAGGAATCGTTTATAATTTCTCTCCATAAAAAAGGTAGCAAGTCTGATGCAAAAATTATAGAGGTATAGCAAAGTTATCCGCTATTCCCAAATTGTTTGAGAAGGTTTTAACTCCGCACTTGCAACATCTCTGCAAGTCACTTATATCTCCAACTCAGCATGGATTTATAAGGCGGCGATCAACCACCACGAACTTGTTAGAGTTTACCTCTTTCATTATTAAAGGCTTTCAAGGTAACTTACAGACGGATGTTATTTACACCGACTTTAGTAAAGCATTCGACTCTGTAAACCATTCCCTTTTAGCACATAAACTTGACCTTTTAGGGTTTCCGCCCAACCTCCTGAGATGAATTTCTAGCTATCTTTGTTCTAGGTCTCAAAGAGTCCTCTTCAAAAACTCCCTCTCTTTACCAGTAAAGGTTTCTTCGGGAGTACCACAGGGCAGCCATCTAGGCCCCTTACTCTTCACACTCTTTATTAATGACTTGCCTTCAGTATTAACATACTCTCGAGTACTTATGTATGCGGATGATGTTAAACTCTGTGTCCAGTACAAGGACATTTCATTTCATTCTCGCTTGCAATCCGATCTCAATAGCTTTCAGTCATGGTGTTGTGCAAACTTGTTACACCTTAATGCCTCGAAATGCAATGTTATGACATTTCATCGTTCTAACCCTTTGTTGGCTCCCTACACCCTATTTGGGGGTTCTCTTGAGAGAATTACCCTGGTGGATGATCTGGGTGTTATGTTAGATCCCAAGTTAAAGTTTTCCGAACACATTTCTACCATGGTAAATAAGGCCATGGGCGTGCTTGGGTTTATAAAGAGGTGGTCAAAGGAATTTGACGACCCCTATACCTCGCTTGTTCGTCCGATCTTAGAATACGGCTCCTGTGTATGGTGCCCTCAGTACAAAGTACACCAGGACCGTATAGAATCAGTACAGAAAAACTTTTTACTCTTTGCTCTGCGGGGCCTTAACTGGGATGCGGGTGTAAGACTCCCATCTTACTCTAGTAGACTATTATTAGTAAACCTCCCATCCTTAGTTAACCGTAGAAAAATGCTTGGTGTGATATTTATGCACAACTTGATCAGGGGTGACATAGACAGCCCTGATCTGTTGAGCCGCATAAACTTCACGATTCCTATTAGACTGACTAGAAACTTTATACCGTTGTTCCTTCCACTTTGTAGATCGAATTATTCCTTGCATGAACCGTTTAGGGTCTTATGCTCGGATTATAATTCCCTCTACCATATTATATCCTCCACTAATTCTGTTCCTCTTATTAAATTACTAATCCTTACACACCTTTCTAGTAATTAGTAATTGAATTGGTATTTGTATTTTGTATTTTATTGCATGCTTAATTTCTTAATAAGTTTAGTGCTAATTTTCCTCGAATGTTAGTCTAATATCTATCTTTCTGCATGCTCGCGTTTGGTTCGGCTACGCACCGCGCGTCATGCGGCAGCGCCCCTCGATCGGTTGGGCGGGAGGAGGGCTGCGTTTTGCCTGGGATCCGCGCGTAACAGCCTTCTGCTGGTGTCACACGGGCCACTTGACGGTGCAGTAATTGCATCGCCTCTTGATAGATGCAGTCATTGCATGTCAACGTCCATATGAAAAGCGAATGATTGAAAAGGATAAAAGTGCAATCCATTGGAATAAAAGTGATGCAGGAGAGTGAAATAAGTTCTAGCAATACCGATTCTTCTCGCAATTATGGGTGTTTTTTGTAGTATATATCTGCCAGGAATATATGTACACCAACATGGTAATTACTGTAGTTCGCCCTACCTCATATACTTCTTCCTTGCGCGTGGTGTGCCAACTGGTTTTTCAAAAGAGATACTAACAACACATACCACGAAAGCATTTAATTTGTGTGTGTGTAAATTTACGTGTCCGACGCCATTGAGCTATACGGGTGTTGGTTTTAAATTATTGGGAACTAATAAGACAGTTAAGAGACACCATGAGAATCGAAGCACCAGAATCGTTTTGGTTGAATAAGACTGTCTACAGCAATGCTGAGAGGTTATACTACGAGGAATGTAGTCAGATAATCGAGCGGGTAAGCAGTACATACATATATACATATATCGTGCGCAAAGGATTGTGTATGTATTGGTGTTTACATGCCAAGCCGGGGGCGCTGCCACACTGTTGCGTTTACCCGACCACCAATGCCTGATTTCTATCGAAAAATGCTCACACCACACTCAGCTGTTTTTTTGCGACGACAGCTGACCGTTCGACAGTTTAAAATTTGTGGCACTCAAAAAACAAGCCAGGCCGGGCGTAAAGCACAGCACACAAAATTTTGATTAAATTATCTTTTCCTTTGACCCGTAACGTACAGGTTCCCGCTGTCCGCACTAAAAAGATCAAAAAGAAGATCAAGGCGATGGCGGCAAGACAGAATCCACAAAATTTACTTTACGTGAGTACCGTGAAGCGAGCTTTTGCCTTGAACTCCAGCTCTAACGTACATTGTGATACGCATTACAGTTAAATCCCCTCACGCTGGAGGCGAATTTCTTTTTGGAAACCCTGGAGCAGGTGAGCCTCAACAGCGAAGTCGAATTGGATCACGAATTGGCCACGCTGCTTGAGCGCATTATGGTAGGCATCGAAAGGTATATGGACCGGAAACCCACCTATATATTGCCCGCCAACGGACCCGGTGAAGGTGTGGCCTTTGTGCCGCGGAAGGATTTGCTTAAAATCAAACGCACATTCAACTGCATCGCATGTGCAAACCAAATGGTTGGAACAAACATTTCCAAGGTTGTGGCGCATTTGTCCGAAAAGCACTACCAGAATCCCAATAACGTAGTGGTTGCAGCTCAGGGGAAGCAGGATAGGATACAAACTAAGGTGGCACCACGCGGTCGATTGATGGAAGTTCTGCCCAAAAGTAAGCAGCGTCTGTATGTGTGCTTTTGTCGGCTCTTGTCTAAATGCTAATTTTTTTGTTACAGAAGCCAAAACCTTGGTTACTTCCGATCTCACAAAAATTTTCAAGGAAAGGTATGGGGTTGCCGACAAGCTGAAAGTGATAACCGAATACGATGCCATCGAGGAGGATCTAATAGGCGTGCTGACGCCAGTGTTTCCCAATTGGGCGATGCGCATTTACAAGTTCGGTTCACGCATATCCGGCATTGGCACACGCTGTTCCGATCTGGATGTTTTTGTGGATATTGGTAAGTGCATTCACTCACCCGATGCTGATCTTTCACGGACCATTGCATTGCATTGACAGGCAACACATTCGACATATTTGAGCACCGCGCCTCCAAGGAAACGTTGGCCAAGCTGCGGGCTATGCGTCCAGCCTTTTGTGCCAGCAACAAGTGGCGCATCATCAATGTAAAAAATCCCTAAACTCACGTCATTCGTTTGATAATTAACTCGGATTTTTTGAGCAGGTCATCGAGCAGGCACGCGTTCCCATCATCAAAGTCTCCCATCTGACCACCGGCATAGAGTGTGATATATGCCTGAATAGCCTGGGCTTCTGCAACACCAACTTGTTGAAGTACATATTCGATATACAGCCGCTGGGTAAGCAATCCCAAACAAACAGTCACAAAGTCACGTTCCATTCTCAGAGCAATGATCGTTCTTATCTTTGCGGCATAATACAGCTCAATACATGTGCATCTATGCGAAAAACTGGCTGGAACGCTGCAAACAGACGGACATATCCACATACAGCATTACACTGATGGTGATTTATTTCATGCAGCTGCACGGCCTTTTGCCCTCAGTTTTTGCCTTGCAGCATGAACAGCCGTTCAATCAGTTCGTTGGACGTAAGTCGGACTTTTACGGCACATAGCATATATCATGGATCTAATGCTGTTTTTCGATTTCAGCTTGGATTGTGAACTTTGGACAGAAATCTCTTCAGGATCTGCGCCTTCCGGAAGCCGATACGGATGCGCCCGCAGTTCGAAACATTTTGGGCCAATTCTTTGCCTTCTATTCAAAATTCGATTACGAGAGATTTTTGGTGTGTCCATATTTTGGTAGCGCTGAAGTCCAAATTCAGCACGTTGAGAAGTTAATGCCAAATCGGTAAGCTATTTACGTACAACATACACATTGTGGGCTAATTGTTCTTTTTAAATTGTAGTTATAGCAAATACACCAGAGAGAATCCCGAGTGTACATTGCAGTTGCGAAAGCCAATGGTGGTCCAGGATCCCATACAGCTGAATCATAACGTAACGAAGGCGGTAACCCGATCTGCACTGAAGGTGTTTATAGATTATTGCGCTCAGACGGCGTCTCTTATGGGTGAGCCATCAACCAACTGGCGACAGCGCACATAAATACAGAATATGAAACGAACCCTCCGCCCCCATTCTGACGGCAGAATCGCGGTTTTCTTTGCTTTCGACTTGGTGTTTATAAGAGTTTCTTATTGTAAATAAAATGGATTTTGCAACGCTCGCATCGTTGGACAATCCAACCGTTCGCAACAACAAGAAAACGAAAAAAAAACATATTGCTGACTTTGTATATTTCACTAAAAGGCATACAAATATCGCTCAATTGTATAATTTTTCTGCCTTATTCAGCAGGATTTGGTTTCAATTGCACTAATACACTAAAAAGCATCGAATGGCACACACGCTGGATGGGAGGCCAGGAAAAATACAATACCCCACGCTCTTACAATGGCTATACGTCGGGTACACGACCAAAGATCTTCAACAACATATAGATGGTAAAGCCCACGATCATAACCAGGCCCAGGAGATATACACGATTGCGCCAGTGCTGCTTGGACTCCTTCATCATGTTGACCACGCGTATGGCCGACTCTTCCGTTTCCTCAATGCTGCCATTATTATCTATGACAAAGTGTGATTGTTCGCATTTCTTCTCCAGCGGCATTTGTGACTCAATCCGGTGGCTCGCCTCTGCCTCGGAAAGCTCATTGCGGGCAATCAAACGCTGCAATTGTTTGTCCGAATCGCTGAAATAATCAATTCTTAGCAGAAATCCAAGTCAAAGGCGAGGTAAAGATAGCCTACCAAGAAACGCAAACAATTTTGTAGATAAAATCCATGAGAATGCCAGTCTCGAAGAGCAGCGGCAGATCTAGGACAATCCACGAATGTCCTGTGACAAACAGTTTGAACGCCCGCCAGAAGATCTTACGGTGTATTTTGGGATGAGTAATCTGGTTCAGTTTACCACGCAACTCCTTGTCCTCGAAAATCATGCGTGCAAGGACAGCACGATTTATCTCCTTGCTAGGGAGCAGCACGTCCTCGCCAAAAGTAGCGCGTATCTGTTCCCAGGCAGCTTGACCTGGTTCCACGACTAATAAAATTAAATACGATAATTAACGGTAATTGCTCTCAATTACAGCAAACAACAGATTCTTCAGATTTCGTCTACTCACTCTCCCTGGCGATTTTATCTGCATCTATGACGGGAATTCCGTGCCGTTCAAACACTTTGCTAACGGTACTTTTGCCCGTGGCAATGCCACCAGTTACAGCCACAATAAACATATTTCAGTAATACTTAAAACGAGTCTGGGAATGTTTTTTATTTAAATAATTAATAAAACTCTGGATGCAGAAAACGCGAAGAGGACAAAACAAATACTGTTTAACTACTGCTCGATTCCCAGCACTGCCATGCCCCAAATCTAGTATTTTTGATTGAAAATCTAGTATTTTCGATAGAAAATATTACATCCCTGGCTGTCAGCATTTTCCATCACTTTTTTTCATAAAACAAAGATGGCGTAGAATTTCGTGCGTCGTTTTTGCAGCAACTTGTGAATTTCCACGCGCATTTTTTTTGTGAAAAAGCGAGTTTCTACACGAAGTTCAGTTTGCACCTGAGAAGCAATAGTCAATATAAACTCAAAGATCTCTTTAGCGAATTGAAAACAAAGCAAAGATGGTGGACAAAATTGAAATGAGCCTTGACGATATCATCAAGTCGACCCGCACGCAGAAAAAACCACAGGGTGCTCGCGGCGGCCCCGGCGGAGCACGTCGGCCGGCTGGACAACAGCGTTTTGCGGCTGGCGGCGGTCCTCGTCGCGGCGGTGGAGCCGGTCCATCGCCAAGGAAACCAGCTCCAGCAAGCGGTGCTGGCGGCGTGCTCAAGGGTCGCCGTAGTGGCGGTGCCGGTGGTGGCGGCGGCGGCGGCGGGGCCATACAAAAGGCAAAATTCGCACGGGTAATACATACGTTTTGTCTCATGTAGAGCCAAACAAAAAGCATCAGAGCAGCAAGAAAATATCCATGCATTCACAAGGACACTGCCGGAGCGAGCTCGGCAAGCGGTAATGTCCGACAGCTGCATTCCAAACACTCACACCATTGCGTTCATTGGATTCAAAATGGCCACCATGAATGGCAACTAACGGTGCCAGAGCGAAAAAAGTAGCTGTTCAAATGGACTTCTCCACACTCCTCTACTCCTAGGATCGGCTGTTTTGAAGGGAATTCCTCGCCTGGTATCACCTCGTCGAAATCCAGTTCCTTTTAATACAGTTTTTCCAGACAGAAGCAATGAACGATCGATCAGCGTTTCGTATTGAGTTCTTTCTTTCCCCAGTTCCCAACGTTAAATAATTTTCATGCACATATTTTGTGTGTTGTTCTGCATTCGATGGCGCTGGCGCTGTCCTCATGAGGCTAGGATACCGACAACTGCTGCGACTGCTACGACTGCTACTCCCACAATATTTGATACCCAACGCGCTCAAACCAACATACCCTTCTACCTAATACTACCCCCACCTTTAGGGCGATGTGAACAGCGCTTGGAAGCACGATATGTATGATGGACCCAAGCGCGGTGCTCCCAGCTCTGGATCTGGCCCAACCCTCCTGATTGTTAACAATCTGGATTACGGCGTCTCGAACAGCGACATCAAGGAGCTATTCAATGAATTTGGACCGATTAAGAAGGCAGCCGTGCACTACGATCGTTCAGGTCGCTCTTTGGGTACGTTTTGAAGACTCTCCTATCCAATCAACCCATCTAACTCTCTACCTCTCATCCCACAGGCACCGCAGATGTAATCTTCGAGCGTCGCACCGACGCATTGAAGGCAATTAAACAGTACAACGGAGTGCCATTGGATGGACGTCCCATGACCATACAACTGGCCGTTTCCGATGTCAACGCCTTGACCCGTCCAGTGGCCTCAGGGGATATCAAGCATCGTGTGGGCGGCGGTGCCGGTGCAGGGGCTCCATACAAACGCGGTGGTATGTACACACCTAGCGATCACAAAAATCCCAGTCCTAGTACTTACATTTCGATTAATTTTGTAGGTGGCCAGGCCGGCGGACCACGTCGCGGAGGCTTGCGACGCCCGGCCCCGGGCGGTGGCGCCCCCAAGCCCGCTGGCGGAGCACGCCGCGAGCGGAAAGCCCCACCCACTGCCGAGGAGCTCGACGCCGAACTGGACTCGTACATTAATGACATGAAGATCTAAATAGTTAATAGTCTGATATTTTAGTCTAACACAAAAAAAATGAACACCCCACTAGTCTTAAGGTTTACCATAAAGACGGAATATCCCTATGGTACAATAATCTAATTCTACATCAGCAACGACGCCGCGCAAAGGAAAGAACACGAAAAGGAAGTTTGGAACGAGTTCTCTTTTTATCTTAAAAGAGATGGACACATTTAATTTGTAATGCGCCTACTGTGTGTGCGCAGATTAATATTGCAATGTGGCGAACATAGTTGAAATACAATTGAGCTGTATTTATTTAAAATAGAAATATGCTTTAACGAACTGAGAACGAACGAAGATGATTTAATGGACTCTTTTTTTAATTGTTAGGCTAATAGAAATAATTTCGAGCCTGAATAATCTCGTGCTCGGATCACGCATTCTCGATATAAAATAAAACAAACTCAATTTATAATTAAATGGGTTATTGTTTATTTTTGGAATATTACATCAATAATTAGAAAAGGCCGTGGTGTTTTTTTTTGTTTTTTGACAAGTAGTCCTTTTGGGGACACTTATTAAGTACAAAATGCAAAATCAGAAGCTTCGTTTTGGTAGTTATTTTATAGGTGGTAGAACTTTAGTCATGGTTCGTTTTTTTCGTATTATTTTTGTGTTTAGGGCGGAATCACGAGTCACTTAGATGTTCAACAAATGCGTTAGACGTTTAGAATAATAATGAAATACATGAAAAGGCAACGAATTAGGTTAGGATAGGGTAGGGGATAGATTTTAGAGAGCTATGTAGTATGTATTTCTGCGGCTTCCTTTTTCCTGCAGATCCGATTAATGATTTTTTTAATACATATATATATAAATGTAGGTATGGTGTATACGTATGTCTATAAGCGATTTATATTTATAGGTTTATGTTTAGTTGATGATTGTGTATGTGTATGTCTCTGTGGGGAGGGCGACTGAGGATGTGTTGTTGTTTTTTGTTTTGTTGGTGTATGAGTCATTAAATGCTTGTCTGGGCCTCCTCTTCTACCAGAAGCCGCCTGACGAGAATCCACCGGGTGGTACTCGTCCGCGCGCCTCACCATTCGTGGCCGCCGGCTTGTTTCCGGACTCTTTGGGCTGACTGTTGGCCGTGGTCTTGGTTTCCTCCTTCGGGGAGGTGATCTCGTCGCGCAACTTCTCCACCACTTTGTTGGGGTCAGTCGATCCCATGCAGGCATTCAGATTGGAAGAGTTTTGCTGATTGTATTTGGGACGCGGGGCGGGTACGGCGGTTTCTGGCTCCGAGAAGATATTGGTGTGTCCGCCGCCCGGTGGCTTCAGTACACGGCTGGAGGGACGAGCGCTGCTGGTCATTCCAATTTTCAATTCGGTGGATGTCATTTTGTTGCTTTTGTTTTTATCTGCTGCAACGAAAAAAATAGAAACAAACGTGAAATGAATATGCGGCGGATCTGCAGCTCTCACTTTACAATGGCATACAATAAATTCTAGCCCATAGAAATATGTAGTATTACAGTCACGCCACTTGCGGATGTGGCCAGCAGCAGAATAAAGCGAATGACGAAGCGCGCCTGTCGCCCTACTGAGGAAACTCTGGTTTCGAACGGCTAGAGAAAATGAGAAATTCACATGGATGTGTGTGTGTGTGAACTCTCCACCGCCCCAATGGGTGCCTGGCTATTGGCCCCACTCTATACACATAAATTTATCATCTCTATCTCTCTATTTTTGCTGGTTGCGTTCTCTTTACACTTTGCCGTTAACTGTAATTGCGCGTTTTGTTGCTGTCGCACTTTCTTTGTTGTTGCTGTTTTTCGTTTTGGTGTCAAGCCTGACGGCACGGTGGGATAAAACTACACAGCCATTGCCAATAAATAGTATTTCCATGTGGTGGTAGTTTCTGTTGCTTTTTTTCATCATTGCTCTTATGGTTTAGCTGTGGAGCGGGGAAAAGAGGTCATAGTGGAGGCGATGACAAATGCTGTAAAACGTTTGTAATGATGCGTCATCATCCTTTGGGATGGGGATGGCGCTGCGCAGCCCCAGTGGTGTAACGCAGTGGGGTGGCAACATTCACCACACACAGACATATACACGCGCAATTATGTTGGGGCACGGCGTAAAACAAAGCAAAGTGAATGACCGCATTGAGTCAAAGATCTCCAGCAGCGTGGCTATTTTACTTCCCATAATAAATGCTAAATGGCAATCGTTTTTCGGCTAAGCAAATAATTTAGACCATCAGAAGCAGGCAGAAACAGCAGACTCTTATCAGTGCTGCGATGTTTTGAGAATGCCAAAATAGTTTTATCTAGATTTTCAGTTTCCGATGGTGAACCAGCCAGATATTGCTTGAAGAAAACTGAACTGGCAACACTGTGCCTGCCCTTAAGCGCGCTTGCCGGCTCACCCATACTCGAAAACACACACACATGCATATAAATAACATTAACGGTGAAGGTTTGCTGGTATTTCTGTAGAAATTATGAGTAATGAGCGATCTAGATATAGCTCGAAATCGTATGTACTCTCTCGCTCTCGCCCTCTCTTTCGGTCACCCTTCTCCGCTCTTTTTACCTATTGTATTTCGCTTTGTTATGGTTTCGCCATTAGCCAAAGACAAGGCGATCAACAGCCAAATCATATATGGAAAAAGCACATTAAGACAGTCGGAAATCAAGTCTAACCAGTGATTGGGGAATGGGACCTACTTAAACGTATTTTCGATTATAGCTAAAACCGCGATGCACACCGAAACTGGCAGAGCAGGGGGGGCAAGGCAAGGCAGGCAGATTTTTTTGCGCTGTAGTCCGAGATGGCGGCGCGGCGTCAGCGTCACTTCCAAAGAGTAGAATCGCGCGGCTGGCTACAATTTCGGTTTAAACTGCCTCTAGCTAGTTTTTCAGGTGCCTGGCCCCCAGTCAGCCGATGCATGCCATCGTTCCGACTAAATGAGCAACATGGCCGCTAAAAAAAAGACAAAGGGGAGCGCAGAATGGAGCATAAAACAGGGAACGAAACCCAAGAGGATGTGTTATTTATATGCATATGGCAGCTGTGCTAAATAAAATTTAAAGGCAGCTGCACCACACGGCAGACAGACAAACGCACACACACACACGCACATAGCGCTTGCGCTTCGGCACATCCCAAGCCCCGCCATGGGAACAAGACACCACAAAATTCCATGACACAATGCTGATATGCGGAAAATATTGATTTATTTTTGGGCACATGGCAGTGCTGCTCTAACTGTTGATTCAACCCATTAGCGCAACTTTAATGCTTACCTTACAATATACTTGAACACTTATTAAATGGTTTGGCAAACAAACGAAAATTTACAAAAATTCAGCAGAAGACGACGCGCACGGTGACCGTTTATTTTCAAAATTGGTTGGGACTAGAGGTGGAGAACTATCGATGGCACTATCGACACTATCGATGGTAAGGCACTATCGCGCTACTAAACTATCGATGGTTCAATGTTTCGATAGTGGGCGACAGTGGTCGATAGTATGGTTTACCCAGCAAAGAAAATTTGTGTGGGTGGGAAATATGTGTCAATTTCAGTGATAATATCGTCAAGTCGAAAATCTTTCACCACAGTTAAAAACAGTAGGGGAAAATATGAAGAATGCTTTATTGGAGTCGATCAAAAAACGCCTATCTACATATGAGCAACGGACTGTAACTAGGATGGCCACGATATTAGATCCGCGCTTCAAGAATGATGGATTTCAGCTCAACTCAAATGCTGAGCAAGCTTCAGTCTTTCGGAAAGGGTTTTTAGCAAGGCAGGGAAAATTGTCCCTAAACGACGAACAAGGCTCAAGAAGGAAAATGTAAACGTTCTGCTGTTTTTGAATAAAAATCTTTGGTTACAATACAAAACATACAACAGAATCCAAGAAATACAAAAATTTAAATATATATTAAGAATACAAATATATGAACATTATACAGAGTTTCTTTTATTATTTTTAGCTTCTAGTTGGACAGCATATTTCATTTAGAATTGTAATAATGCTTTTAGCATCGAATCAACCGTCTTTTTACACTTTTAAAAACACTCATTTGTATTACGACTATCGAACACTATCGATGGTACTATCGCCCAATATCGATGGTTTTGAAAATACTATCGTCCACTAACGATGGAGCCTACTATCGATAGTTCTCCACCTCTAGTTGGGACCAGTGTAACCGCGGGTCGGTGGATTAAATTTACCGGCCGACCCTCTGAAATATACAGTCTCATTTTAAAAATATACCGTAAATATACTGACGAGTTCAAGTTCTTTTATACATATTCCCCGATTTTGATATTCCGTTGGATATTATTAGCTAGATAGAACATTTAGCCATGCCATCATAATTTTATACGATTGATGAATCAATTTTCTACTTGACTGGCTTGATTTAAATACTTTCTTTTGTTGGATTTAGTCTAAAAAAGGTTTTAGCGAAAATGGTCAAACAAAAAAAGGTTTTAGCGAAATAGGTCAAAACAAAATAGCAAAAGAGAATAGTCGTTCATATTGTTCAATTTGTATATTCCCTTGTATAATTCTGGCTAACTAAACCCTTAGTTCTGCCCACATAATTTTGGGCCATTGATGAATATATTTTCTTCAAGATTGGCTAGTTTTTAGTCCTTGCTTTTATTGTATTTTGGCTAAAACAAGGCTTAAACAAAATAGTTCAACAAAAAAACAGTCGCAATGTTGCTGGAATTTAAAGACATGATGCGTGTATAGCCTTTGTACACCCTATTTTGTTAATTTTATATGAAGATTGTTATGGGCGGTTTTGGAGAGAGCCGATAAGTATCAGGGCTGGAGAAGAAAGAGACAGCGGCATCTATAGTGGATCCTGGGAAGCAGTGGCAGAGTTGCGTGGGAGGAAAGGAAACGGTGCGAGGAGGAAGAAAAAAAAAAAAAGAGGAGAGTTTCCGGTGGAGAATAGTGGAGGCCGCACGTGCCCTGAAAGAAAAAAAAAGGAAACAAAATTGGTGATCGTGGAGACGACGATCCCACCAAGACATCAGCGGCAGGCATCAACATCAGCAGAAGCGGCGGACCGCGGCAGCAGCAGCCCGGTACTGGCCAGGCCGGAAAACTGGTGCGAGAACCGGCAGCGGAGCACCGACACCAAGGAACCGTCAGCGGAGCACCGGCACCAAGGAACCGTCAGCGGAGCACCGACTGGAGACACGTTTCTGTCCCCACACACCAACCCCCCCGGGGAAAGAATCCAGACTTCAAAGCAGAAATAAACCCACACGAATCAATGTCACACACCTTCATCCACACACATCACACCCAACCCACGCATGTATACCCTCATTCATAACACATCACATAACATCACCACATTTCACACATCTACACCCGTCCGACCCACAATTAAACAATATATCACGATCATATAAAAAGAACACCACGATTAAACGTAAACATCAGCAAGCATCAGGAAGCAACAACTTCTATCAAAGGGGGCTGCTAATTCGGCCGAAATAGGGTTTATTTTTTTTTGTTAGTATTTTTTTAGTGTTAGTATTTGTTTCCTTTATATAAACCTAGATTATGAATTAATGTTCAAGAAGATAAAGTAAGAAAATATAATGGATATAAAAATGAAAATTTGAACAGAGTCATGAGTGAATAGAAAACGGTAGTTGGGTGGGACGAGAGCGAGAAGAAGAGTGGGACCCTGAATATGAAAAGGGAGCGCTCATGGAAGGTGGCGCTCATGGAAGGGTGGGACCATGCTAGGGATAACGAAACCAACTATCCCCGCTGACGAAAGTGCCAACGAAGACAAGTCTGTCCTATAAACTAGATTTGTTTTTTTTGTATGTTTTTTTTGTTTTTTGTTTTGTTCAATCCGTCCCCTGACTTATCGGGTCGGAAACACCCCTGACATCCCCGTGAGCTAGCTGGGAACGATAGGCCAGGGTGGCAAAGAGGCGGATCATAACAAGATGAAACTTAATTTATTAAGACCTTTTCTCAAATTGATATATTTTAGACATATTCATGTATATTATTAGAATCTTGTATCTCGATCCTGATACCTACGGATCCTGGGATGACAAAGATTTTGTCACTCCCATCATATCCTTTTCCCTAGGGTATGACAATTAATGTTGCCGGTAATCATTGTTGTGAACCGGTTATGACGACTTATTCTTGGTTATTCTTTCTTCCGTCGAGTATTCCCAGCTATATAGATCTCTCATTTTTGCCCAGATAATTTTATATGATTGCTGAATCAATTTTGATCAGGATTAACTACTTTTAAGTACTTGCATGTTTTTTATTTTGACAAAAACACAGTTTCAACAAAAATGTTCAATAGTCGCAGGTTGTGACGTCAATGTTGCTGGTATTTGCAGACTCCTTTTTTGTCTACCAGAGTGTGGGCATTGTATACCCTATTTCGTTAATAGTATTTTGTAATATTATAATGATACTTGTTTTCCAAGCTGCTTTCAAACGTAATTAGTAAAGACCTTGTCGTAGATTGCTTTTTTAAGGCATATTCATACATTCGATGAGGTTCTTGTATATAAGTCGTGATCCCTATACCAATTCTTGGTCTCTGTAAGAAGACCACGAATTGCAAAATATCGTTTAAAACAGAGACTTTCTAGTTTCTACATTAATTAGAGCCTGGAATGACACACATTTCCGCTATTCTATATCATCCATTTCCCCCAGGGTATGTGTGCATGGAATTAGCAACATGTTTGTGTATGGAATGGGACTCATTTGTTGTGAACCGGTTATTGCCAAATCGAATATTTCAAGCTATAGATGCCCACTTAGCTTTATCCCATAGATAAATGCATTTTTTACAAGATTGCTTCTTTTAATTACCTTAATGTATTTTATTTTGACTAAAATACGGTTTTCAAGTAAATGTTGCCGCAACAGTGTGTATGGAATGAGGCTCATTGTTGTCAACCGGTTATTACAGATTCTACCGGATTCAAATAAATACCAAAATATACGGTCTCATTTTCAAAATATACCGAGTGGTGCGCGCCAAATCTAACTTTTTTGAATGTGAGCGACAAGGATTTAAATGTTGTCAACCTTACAACATTACCGATTCAACAAATACGACCATTCCCTCAATTTTGATCTTCCGTCGAATATCAGCTATATGGAAGATTTAGCCATGCCCACATAATTTTATACAATAATTGAATCAATTTTCTACTTGACTGGCTTATTTAAAACACTTGCTTTTATAGGATTTTCTCTACCCAATTAACCGATTAAATAAGTAGCGAAATATACCTTATAAGTTTCTTAATATACCGTAAATATACCTTCAACTATATTTCGTCTTCAAAATATACCAAAAACGGTCACACCGATGGTTAACTAACTTTTCAATTAAACAGCTAAAGAAAAAAATTAAATATCGTAGCATAAATATTTATATATATTTTAAATAGCAGATTTCCGGTCAATAGAAATTTTTATAAAAATCATCCTTTAAAAATAGCCAGAACTAGCTAAAAAACAGCTGATGTGGCAACATAGCTGGCAGCTTTATTTTGCGCTATCCAATACTAAATACAAAAACAAGTGTTCTTTGCCGTGATAAGGAAGCCGCAATCAAAAGATTTCATTATTTGGTTAAACAATTACAGAGCAACGCGTAAAAACTATGCACTGGAAATAGTCAGAAACATAATTAGTTTACATAAAAAACAAAATGCAAAAGCAAGAGGAGGTCCTATCGCGCCTCAGGCAGATCTTGGACATATTTCTGCGCGATAACTTTTCCACAACCAACAATGTTTACTTTGAGAAGCTTCTAACGCACATAAAGGCTAAGGGTGAGGGCAAGAGTGTGTTTCTTTATGTACTATCTACTAATCAGAGATCTAATTTTGCATTCCACCACAGAGAATGTGTATGTGCTCCAGGCGCCGTTTATCATCGATTGGGTCGACAAATGCATGACCATGGTAATGGAGGACTTTAACAAAATCCATCCGAAGGTGATATCGTTCATGTTGAATCTCACCAGCTACTTGGCGTCCAACGAGTGGATGATTGTGCGCCTCCGTGAACTGGATATTGTCGGCAGGTGAGTCTCCTACCCAGAACTGGCTCCGTTCTAAACCATCTCGTGCAATTACCTTGCAGAACCATTACATTCCTGAAGTCGGGAGATCTCCAGTTTAGTCCGTCAATCAAACTCGGAGGAATACGGCTGATGAAGTCCGTGGCTTGCTTCAGTATGGGTCTGGCATTCATGAAAATCCATCGCACGTGGACATTGCTGATTCAATACTCGAATAACGATCACACGCTGTATGTGGTGCGGGAGGCCAGACAGGTGCTCTACGAGATTCTGTACAAGTCGTGCGACAAGCTGCACGACAAGGCTGTTACCCTGGAAATACTGGCCGAGATAATGAAGCCCATTCATGATAATCTATACAAGACCACTGATCCCGAGGTGCAGGAACGCATTCACATCAATGTGGATGACAATGAGCTGTTGCACAAGATCTCGGCCACATTGGATCTGCTTTCGTACGTTCTGCAGCAGACGCTTGTGCACGAGGAGCGCACAATGCTGATCTCGCTGATGAAGGAGTATCACGACTTTGAAATAACCATTTGGAAACTTATCGACATGACGCACAATCCGTACTTTATGGAAAAGATCTTCACCACACTGAGCAGCTACTACTTTGCCCTTCTGACGCACGAGAAGCTGCTCAATCCGGACGTGACCGAGCCCCCCGAACAGTTCACCGACTTTGGCTTGTCCTTTTTTAATCTCATGAAATTCTTCATTACCCGAAGAGACGGCGTCGGTTTTGTGAAAATGGCCGAACTGAATCATATACTTTGGAAGAAGCTTGGCGCTCGTGCCCCCAAGGAGATCATCATCCAGCATGAACGAGTGTCGTTTGAGAATCAGTTGATCCTCTTCCATATGCTGCCGTTGCTGTTCTCCATGAAATATGCCCAGAGGCAGGCGGACGAGGCTTCTCGCACTGAACTGTTTGACGCTTACGTTCTGAAATTAATGGAAATGTCGTGTGAGCAGACCTTCCGTATGTGCTACAGTATGCGCGATGCATTCTTCACGCCCGAAGGTGTGGCGGGTGGTCTGTTCACGCCAGAGTTGGCCAACAAGTGCATACACAGTATACTCTCTCTGGAGCATGTGCTGGACCGGGAGCAGGCCATTACCGTGTGCCAGGCATTGCTGTATGTGCTCCGCGAGGTTGTGGCCCTGAGTGCCCTCGGCAATTCGGGCCAGGATGACTGTCACAGCGTTAGTAGCGCGGGTAGTGCTGGCAGCATCTACCGTGATCTTTATCCCCGCGGCACGGAGTTGGTGGTGAATGATCCCAAAGTTCTGCATTCCGTCATGGTCGGCCTGCGTACGCTGATCGAACGCTTCAAGATCACGTGGAAGGAGTCGGTGGAGACGATTGGCCTGGTCAATTGTCTGGCATTTGTGCTGGAGAACACCAACATGGATGCCAGAGTGAGAATATAATGAAATATTCCTTATTTGAGGACAGTTTCACTTATTGTTTCTGTATTTTCCAGTGCACTGTCCAGGCGTTGAAGCTCGTGCAGCTGGCTGTGGAGCATTTCCTGTCGCCGAACATGGCTCTGCTGGTGGACAATCTGCAGGGCTCTGCCTTGGTTTGCCTGGGTCCCATTATTGTCAAGCGTATGCATGATACCACGTGGGAGGTGCGTGATACCACGCTGGAGTTGACCACCTCCATAGCCAGCATTTCCCGTATCAGTAGGTTTCCACCAGAAAAACTATGATCAATTATTATTAACAATGATGTATTTGCTTTCATGTAGAGTTTCCCGCCTTTCAGCAGTTTCTGATTGACGCAAAGATACCTCCGATTGTCTACGAAATGGCCAAGAATGATTCAGAGAGCTATGTGCGCGCCTCAGCCTTCAAATGCCTGTCCCAGATGGTGTCCATCAATCTGCTGTGGGAGAATTGTCTCAGTCAACTTGATCTTGTGGTACGATAGTGATCTTTTTATTCCCCTAGACGTTTAACATCCTCTTTTGATCTGCTTCAGGATCATCTACTGTATGTGCTGTATCGCGACAACGATGATCTGGTGCGTGCAGAGGCCGTAAACACTTTGATGAAGATCTACGAACATCGCAAGATCCACCAGAAGTACAAAAATACACTCTTCTCCACCCTGAACTACTGCGTGGTCGGGGATCATCACTCAGAGGTGAAGCTAAATGCTCTGGTTTTCTGGCGCAGGGAGTTTTTCCGCCAGTTCAGCAACCAGGGCATGATCGACGGAGTCTTTCCCACAGTGACCTTCTCCAAGGAGCAGAAGAAGATTGTTACTCTGACGGAGAAGGAGATTCAGACGAGCATTGCAAAAGTGTTTGGGGAGGTGCAGCAATATGGTTACTTTGGCATCATCATTAAGTGTCTGCGCGAAGAGGTTTCTGTGGAAGTGCTGGAAATCATTGTACGAGGCCTCAAATTAATGAACGAAAAGTTCGAGCGTTTCAAGGGCATTATGGAGGAGGTTGAGTTGAGGTCGCCACCCCCGAGTGACGAACAATGTTCCTCGTTTACCTTTAAACCTCAGGAGCCAACGCCACACCCATCATCTGGACGTAGCTCCCCTATGAACCCCAACAAAGCGGATGAGATTATCGAGGGTATATTGAACTCGCAGGATGCACAGCTGCTGGAGACGGCCTTTCAGACGCAAATGCAAATCAACGACGAGGATGACGAGAAGCGGCACTTGGACGAGTTCTACTACAAACAGTTTGCTATGCCTTATCGAAAATTCCTTGTGGAGCTGAAGACAATTGACTTGGATAATTTGATTAAACAGCAAGAGGAGCGGTTTGAATGCATTGAGAACTTTACATCCCTGCTGGATGATATTTTGTGTGCGATAAAGCATGATGATGCGAATATTATTTCCGATTGTTACTAACTTGCTGGTTAAGCTGCACTGTTAAGCGAGCTGGAAGTGTCTTTTCTGAAATAGAAATTATTTTTTTAAATATATTTTTGTATGTCTACATATGAAATGAGATTTCATTCCGAAGAAAGATCGGATAATAATAAAGCAAAGCACCGATTAAATTTAAATATTAAAAAAGATTACAATTATTTAATTGTGGCGCTTGCGTAAATCGATATCATTATCGGAGGGGCCTGTATGTGAATTGTCCTTGTTCCAACAATTTCAATTGACGCGCTCAAAGAGGGCCTAATTGAGAGTTTATCGGTCCCTTGCTCTCTTTGAATTGGTTGAGGCTCTCTTTTTCGCTCTCTTTGAATCGGTTAAGGCTCTCTTTGAACGTTGTATAGGCCAGAATCATATTTCGCAACATATCTTCAAATACCAGCAACATTGACGTGACACCATGCGACTGTTTTTTGTTTAACTTTTTTGTTTAAACAGCGTTTTAGTCAAAATACAATAAATGGGAGTACTTGAAAGTAGTTAGTCTTGAGCAAAATTTCTTCATCAATGGCATACAATTATGTGGGCAGAGTTAAGAATCTCATTAAGCCAGCATTATTCAACTGAATATCAAAATTGAGCTATTGGAACGATTACTGTCTTCGGTTTTTTTGTTTGACCTTTTTCGCTAAAACCTTTTTTTAGCCAAAATCCAATAGAAGTAAGTATTTAAATTAAACCCGTCAAGTATAAAATAGGTTCCTAAATTGTATAAAATTAGCTGGGCAATGCTGAGAGATCTATATATCCTGTAATATTCGACGGAATATCAAAAGCGAGGAATATATATAATAGAACTTGAACTCGACAGTATATTTACGGTATATTTTTAAAATGGGACGGTATATTTTGGTATATTTCTGATTGTCGATTTTGATCTATTTCAGCTTTATCGAGTCCGCGGTCACACTGAACTGGACAGAACAGCCGCGCGTCGACGACGAAAACAAGAAATACAATTTTTAATATTAAATCTTAACGGAGGGCGGATTTGAAAGAACGGCTGCAGAACCAAAATGACTAATATAACTTAGAGTTGCTAAAAACCTAGTAAACAGTTTCATCAGATTATTTATTTACTTGGTGCAGCGGAAGGCGGATTTGTTCGAATGATATTCTCCTGAGTAGGCGGTGCAACATAAATATTTCAAAAATAACAAGAAACATGCAGTTGCACAAACGAAAAGCAAAGCGAAAATATGGCCTGTAAATTATGTCATAAATGTGAAAGTGTTTTCCAGTTGCATTGCAACAACAAATGCAACATCGTCCACGGCACGCATGTGAAAAAGGAGTGTGAGTGGGTAGAAAAAATCAATTGAGAAAGAAAAATTGCATTTTCGCTGCCGCCACCAAAACGAAAATAAGTGAAAAAAATAGATAGATATATATATTAAGTGCGTTCGCGAGTGTGTGAGTGTGTGTAAGGAAACAAGCAGAGTCAAGCAGCAGAAATAGCAAAAGGAGACACAGCAGCACCAGAGAAGACGACGACGACAACAACAACACCAAGAGAAACCCGCCGCCCCATCAGTCGACAGAGCGGCCAGTAATAAAGAGGAGAAAAAATGAGTTCAAGTTGTGAAAGGTGTGTGCCGTTACACTACAACTAGCATTACAACAAATGGCAGCAGCAGCACCAGCAACAACAAAACCAACCTCTAGACAACGCAAATGTCGAAATTGTGTACACAATTTATTAAGAAAGCAAGCGGCAATAGGCAACAATGCAGAGGCTTTTGTTAAATAAATTGTCTTGAATGCAGAAAATTTCAATGCAGAGTGCAGCTGGGTGGTGGGTGGCTTTCACAAGAGAGAGAGAGAGAGAGAGAGTGTCAGAGCGAGAGAGGTGAAGGAGGTCCTCCTCCTCTTTAAGGCGAGCCGCCTGCCGCTTTGACAGCTGCGTGCTGAAGAGAGTGTTTGAGTGAGTGCGTGTGTGCGTTTCTTCGTGTGGGTTTCCAGTGAGCCGCCCTCTCCCCGGTCTCTCCCTGCATTTCTTTAGCTTGATTAAATGCTAGTCTAGAGGCCGGGCCGGCTCGGGTCTTGGCAAATTTATGCATTTTTTGGCTTTTGAGCCAAGCGTGCCTGCAAAATCGATTTTCTTGCAAGGCGCGGCAACAAGCGTCGTGCTGCCAAATATGCCAAAAAGAGAGCCCAGCCATGGCTGGCACCCTCTCTTGCTCGCTCTCACTCCTTATTTGCGTGTGTGTGTGTGTGTAGGAAAGGACGGCCGTTCTCTAACTGCAATTTTCAAATAAGGAAAAACCGGATAACGCTTGACAAAATATGTCTGTGTGTGTGAAGAGAAAAGCCCAATTGAACGTGGGGGAAAACCAGACACACACACACACATTCACGCACATAGTACTATATAATGAATGAGATCTCACGCACAAAAGCCAAATTTGGTCAGCTTTTTTCCGTATAGAAATTTGCCTCAATGAATGAATGTGTGAAATATTGAATGACAACAGCGAAGGGAGGGACTTTGTTACGTTCTTTTTGGGGTTCCTTTTCCTGCAGATTGTTGTTGCTGTTGCTTTTTGGAAGAGTATTTTCTGTTATTATTACTTTGGTTATAGTGTTGTTGTTGCTGCTGTTGCAGGGGCGTGTATTACAAAATATCTTGTACTTACGGTGCATGAAGAGGAGCGCACGGGCGTGAAGAGCATTCCTGAAATGTTTTTTTGGGCGCTCTAAAATAGAAGCAATCGCATTTTATGTCTTATTTATGTGTATTTCTTGCCCGCTCGTTTGCGTGCTATCCGTCCTTGTCTCTCCATCTGTATCACTTTCTCTCTTTTTGGCCTTACAGAATAGAATGGGTAGAAATCATCGAGCCACGCACCAAGGAGCATATGTATGCCAATCTCACAACTGGCGAATGCGTTTGGGATCCACCAGAAGTAAGTTATTCCATTTAAATATAATCTACAATGTTTACAACTCTCCTGGGAGGACATTCTTCCCAGAAGAGATATCAAGTAAGGAAAGATCACCGCAGAAATTTACAGTGAAGAGAGAGAGAGAGACGGGGTTCATTAACCCTTCAAGGGGCTGTGTGGCGAGATCCTCTCCTCAATGATTAGATGAACAATTTGCTGTCCGGCTGATTTCTTCATTATTATTCTGGGTCACTTGTTTGCACAATTTTCATGCTTGTGGTTTGGCTTGCAAATTTTCATAACCCAGTTCATAAAGTGGCGTGACCAAGGTTAATTATATTAAAATATCTGTCGAATGATATAACTATTCTGCTATAACAGCCAGAGAGAAAGCGTTTGCCGTCTTTGTTATTTTGTTCGAGCTTCCCTTTAACCTTTTCTTAATTTTCTTTCATCTTTAAAAGCTTACATTATCCTTTTCTCTACTTCTTTTCATCTTTTATTACTACATTTTCTCTGTCCTTACTCCCTTTCATCCTGCATAACGAAGATTTTCATAGAGTTTATTTTCTTCTCCCTATTTTAAATCAAAACTAACATTTTCATAGAATATTCTTTGCTTTTCCCCCATTTTAAATCAAAACTTTTCCTTTTCAAGCGAGCGAAAAAAAAGAAGGAGAAACTATTAAGTTGGAAATTGTTTGCTCAAAGCCTTTGCTACCATCTCTTTCCCTCTCTTGCTTCTTTTCCTCATTCTTCCTTTTTCCTGCTGGCTTTTCTAATGCGGCAACTTCCAAAAGGTGTTGCAGGCTAATAACTTCGGTCTCGCCCGCAGGCAGCCGACTAGCCAAAGCAGAAAGGCAAACACAGACCTGGTTATCCTCATTTTGCCTCTATACGGTTTCGGTTTTATTTTTTGCCCTCTCAGTGCCGGAAGTAGTGAAAATTTCATTGATTTTGTTGTTGGATGCAATGTCCTCGTCGACTGCTGGAGGACGGCCTCGTTTCGCTCCTGATTGCACTCACACGCATGTAATTTTGGGTGCATGTGTGAGTGCTGGCTCTGCTTCCTTAATGAGAGTCCTGCTTGCATGCTGAGAGAGTGCATAGTCTGTGTTTGCCTTGGGCCTGGCGGTCCGTGGGTGTCCATTTGACGCCATGATTTATTGCATGTGGTCTGCTGCCTGACCCTTTCTCATATCGCCTCTTCATCTGTGTGTGTGTGTGTGTGTGTGCTTGTGCTTTCTCTCTGCCTCTCTGTTACTCCTTCGAGTGTTTATTTGTGTGCATTTCATTTCGGTTTTTGTCACTCTCACTCTCTGTTTGAGTCATAGCCAACGTCACCCACACACGCAGGCACAGACGCAAACATACCGTTCTTGACATACCGTATGACACTTACCGAAAACAACGTGGAGAGAGATGACACCAGAAATGCTACAACATAGGTCCCCCTTGATTCATTATTCCTCTTCAGATAGTACACCATTAAGAGAGTTTCAACAAGAAAATTAGACCCAATGACTTTTGTAGGTCCCCATCGCAGCATTAATTCATTAGCATTAAGCAAGTGTCATACCTGGTCCAACAAAAGAGAACAGAAGAGCAGAAAAACAAATAAAAATGTATGTAAATATCAATGGCTGTTTTTCGCAGCAAGAATTTGATCAACAGAGTTAATTAATTATGCATCGTGGTCTATGAATAAAGGCAGGACATTCCATATTTGCGTAAAACATTTCCCCTTAGAGAATCCTCCTCCCATCTCATTTTTGCGTGCACCCTAAGCGACAGCAAAAGCCCGCCCTCAATTCAGTATCTGATTGCAGCGACGTCAACGCCAGCGTAAGCAGAGACGCCAGCTGCAGTGCAATTGTTGCTGCTGCGGAAGCGAATCCTTTTCACTGCGCAATATAATCTAAAGAATTTATGCAGAGCAGCGTGAAAAAGACATTATTAAAGGAGTCAAGCGGGGAGGGAGATGATCATACTCTACTTCCTCTTCACATCCCCACCGATGCTTCCTCTCACCTCGCTTTGCCTTCATTATGCCACCCCGGCAGCTGTCTAACGTGCTCGAAATTAGCAACATTCTCTCTGCTTGTCACAGAGGGTATGCTTATTTGACCAGATGTTGGTAAAGCAGAATGGAATAGGCGTTTATGACCCCATAAAGTATACATATGTACTTATTCGGGATTATAAATAAAAGCCGAGAAGATATAGCCATAGTTTTT